AACACACTGACATCCATCCAGGGCTGGCTGAAGTGCTTGGTTTTGAATGACTTCTTGGGAGCATTGTGGCCAGTCCCTGTCCTCGATCCTGGTCCAGTAGAGCAGGACAGCCGAAAAAGGCCTGGTGGGATCCTTAGGCGCTTCTGTGGTGCTGGGGCAGAGTGGTCAGCACGTCCTGGATGAATTGTGGTGGGTCGGCCCACTCGTGGCTGTTGAGGGATGGCATGCTTCCTGCCTCTTGAACAATTCTCTGTGCCAGGGCCGTTCCGTGAGAGATGGCGCCCTGCATAGGACGCGACAGCGCAGCTTCACTCCAGCCAGCTTCCTGGAGGAAGACTTCACCACGGAGTTCCCAGAAGAGGAGCTGGACACCTCCTTCTTTGCCAGGGTAGGAGTTGAGCCGCAGGGGAAAAGAAGGGGAGGAACTGCTGGTGGCCCCAGCAGCTGCTCACAGCTGGGCCTTCCCTCCCTTGCCTAGGAAGGAGTCCTGCCGGAAGAGCCCTCCACATATCCCGATGAAGTTTTTGAGTCCCCCTCCGAAGCAGCCCTCAGGGTCCCTGAGGCGAAGGCCCTGCAGGCCCAGCCAGCCCTCACAGGGGGGGCTCTGGATCGGAGTGAACTAGAGAGGAGCCACCTGCTCTTGTGAGTGTTGCAGGGGAGGCACCAAGAGGCCAACAAACAGGAGCCGGAGTCCTCTGGAGGAAGGGAACCCCCCCTCCCCCTTGCAATTGCCCTGGGGGGAGACTCTTCGGGTGATCTTCTGTGCCAGAAGCTGCAGCCCTTTGGAAGGGTGACCTGCAGTTGGGAAACGGGGGTGGCGTCTAAAAGAAGACCTGGCTCCATCCATTCCACCTGGGACTCAGGCACCAGGGGAAAAGGGGCTGTGTGCATGCTGCAATTAAGCGCACCGTATAGGAACACTTGTCCAAGATTCCAGCGCTTGCTTTCTGACGAATGAGCCTGTTCTCCCCGCACCCCCTGTCTTCCAGCCCCCTGGAGCGTGGCTGGCGGAAACAGAAAGAGGGGGCTTCCGTGCAACCGAAGGTCCGTCTGCGGCAAGAGGTGGTCAGCCTGGGCCTCCAGCGGCGTGGCCAACGCATCACTGTCCCTGTCCGCAAACTCTTTGCCAAAGAGAAACGTCCCTATGGCTTGGGCATGGTGGGCCGGCTGACCAACCGGACATACCGCAAGCGCATCGATAGCTTTGTGAAGCAGCAGATTGAGGACATGGATGACCACCGGTGGGTGGAGGCCTGGGTGCCTGGGAGGGGGAGCAATTGATTGTGGCCTGATGGCCCCATCGCCCTCTCCTCCGCACAGGCCGTTCTTCACCTACTGGGTCACCTTTGTGCATTCCCTCATCACTATCCTGGCTGTGTCCATCTACGGGATTGCTCCTGTGGGCTTTTCGCAGCACGAGACGGTGGACTCGGTGAGCGGCAGCACCCGACCAGCCTCCCTGGTCTCCTTTCTCCTAGAGCGCGCTTGCCCCTCCTCTACTGCTGAGGAGACCTTCCTCTTATGCTCCTGAAGGGGCCGGAGGGGGTATTCTGCCCATCTCCTCCTCCCTTTAATGGGCCTTTTTACTGGCAGGTCCTGAGAAACCCGGGGATATATGAGAACGTGAAATATGTCCAGCAAGAGAATTTCTGGATAGGGCCCAGCTCGGTGAGTGCCAGCCCCACCTGCCTCGTCCCTCCAGGGCTCAGCCTTGTCCTGGCCAGGTCCTCGTCAGGGTATCGGTCTTTCCGTGGGCTTCGGCTGAGTCTCTGCCGCCCTTTCAGGAAGCTCTCATCCACCTGGGAGCAAAGTTCGCCCCTTGCATGCGACAGGATCAGCAGGTGCACAGCTTCATCAGCACGGCCCGGGAGAAGGAAAAACACTCTGCCTGCTGTGTGCGCAACGACAAATCGGGCTGTGTGCAGACAGCCGAGGAGGAGTGTTCCGTAAGCCCACTTCCTTCCTGCATCCTTCCCACTGGCCTGTCCCCTGCTTTTGGGGAGGGGGCACAGGGCGCCCCTTGAGGACCCTGCTCCCGCTCATTTTTGCCCCTCTGCTTTGCAGTCCACGTTGGCTGTGTGGGTGAAGTGGCCAAGTCACCCCAGCACCCCCTTGCTGGCCGGGGGCAAGAGGAAGTTTGGCTCTGTGTGTCACCAAGACCCGAGGTAGGTTGTGGGGGGGCAGGGCACGTGCGTGGGGCTCCAGATGTTGGCAGGGGCAGAGTCTGCAGTTGCATCCGACACATAAAGCTGCCTGGGACCTCTCCCTCCACAGGGTGTGTGAGCAGCCGGCATCCATGGACCCTCATGAGTGGCCTGATGACATCACCAAGTGGCCTGTAGGTTTCTGGAGAACTAGGGAGCAGTGACTGGCTCTGGCCAGTCGTCCCATGTCTGTCTGCACATGGAGTGCGGGGTGGGTGGAGGCTTCAGAGGGCCCTTCTCTTGAGGAGGAGGAGGAGGCGCATGGCCTGCCTGTCTTCTTCCAGATCTGCACCAACAACAGTGCTGGGAACCACACCAACCACCTGCACATGGACTGTGTGATCACTGGGCGGCCCTGCTGTATCGGCACCAAGGGAAGGTAGGGTGGGTGGCCCTGAAAGGGCTGATGGGGTGGCTAGCCCATTCTGCTGGGAGATGCCCAGGACCACCTCTCTTCTAGGACTGGGGGCGCTCAGCTGCCCCAGCGCTTGGCTCATGCTCACCAGTCCATTTTATTTGCTGCTGCCGCTGCTTCAGCCCGGCTTAACTTCTGGGCGTCTGGTTCTCTCCTCCCAGGTGTGAGATCACCTCCCGGGAATACTGCACCTTCATGCATGGTTACTTCCACGAAGAGGCCACACTCTGCTCCCAGGTACCCCCATCCCTCTCCTAGCTGGCTCCAGCAGGCGGCCTTCTTTGACCTGGCTGCTCTCTGTCTTGCCAGGTGCACTGCATGGATGATGTCTGCGGCCTCCTCCCCTTCCTCAATCCCGAGGTGCCAGATCAGGTCTACCGCTTGTGGCTGTCGCTGTTCCTTCATGCAGGGTAAGCCCAGCCCAGGGCCACAGTCCCCTCTCGCTTGGAACTCAAGTCCTTCTCCCCCTTGGTCACTGCTGTTTTTTCCTGCCCGACAGGATCCTGCACTGCCTTGTGTCCGTGTGCTTCCAGATGACCATCTTGCGTGACTTGGAGAAGCTGGCTGGCTGGCACCGCATTTCCCTGATCTACTTGTTTAGCGGCATCACAGGCAACCTGGCCAGCGCCATCTTCCTCCCCTACCGAGCTGAGGTATGTCTCACTAGCGGCTCATGGAGGGGGGGTGGTCCTCCCTCCCAAGCAAAACGTGTCCCAGGTTGAAGACCAGGGCCAGGGAGACATCCAGATCGTTGGGGGCAATATGCTGACTCTGTAAACCGCTGAGAGCGAGCTCTGTGAAGCGGTATGTAAGTCTAAGTACTATTGCTATCCTCCAGGCAAGGGTGGGTGATAGCAGATGGGGGCTGGGGACAGAACACTCCTGGGCATTTCCTGCCTCCCTTGGGGGCGGGTGGGTCTTATTTTGGCAAGTCTCGCAAACTCTCACTTGAAGACTTGAAATGCTCCCCCCCACTCCGATAGGTAGCCCCACCCCCACGTTGCTTATCGGAGCGGTTGGCAGCACAAGCCAGGGCCTTGACCAGGTGTGAGTAAGACCTACCTACCCAAGCAGCCTTCCCTGCAGGGCAGCTGTCTAATAGCGCATCCTCTGTGCAGGTTGGCCCAGCAGGCTCCCAGTTTGGCATCTTGGCCTGCCTCTTTGTGGAGCTCTTCCAGAGTTGGCAGATCCTGGCTCGGCCCTGGAGGGCCTTCTTCAAACTACTGGCAATTGTGCTGTTCCTGTTTGCCTTCGGACTCCTCCCCTGGATAGACAACTTTGCTCACATCTGTGGCTTTATCAGTGGCCTCTTCCTGTCCTTCGCCTTCCTCCCGTACATCAGCTTTGGCAAATTTGACCTGTACCGAAAGCGGTGTCAGATCATCATTTTCCAGTCAGTTTTCGTGGGGCTCCTCTCCGGACTGGTGGTGTTGTTTTACTTCTACCCCATTCGCTGCCAGTGGTGTGAGGTCCTCACCTGCCTTCCCTTCACTGACAAGTTCTGCGAAAAGTATGACCTGGATGCGCAGCTCCACTGACCGGGGGTGGAGTGCAGTCACTAGCTGCCTTGGGCAAAGCTGGCCTGGTGCTACTTGCCAGACTGCCAGCCAATTTAAAATCCCTGCTTCCCCCTTGTGCTGCCTTATCTTGGCGACTGGAAGTCTTTCAGCACACAGAAAATTGGTGCCTTGTTCAATTTTACTGAACCTTTTCTGCTGCCGCATTTTTATTATGCTAGTTTCAAAGCGACCCTTTTCATGAGGTTTAATTGTTACCCTGGTGGTGATTAAAAGTGAAGGTAGCGTTTTAGCTACATTTCCACTAAGTTTCGGAGTGTATCTGTGCCAAAATTGAGATTGCTGACCAAGTGCCTCCCAAAGGAAAGAGCAGCTCTTCATTCAGGGTTGACTCAGTTTCTAACATACACACTGAACTTGGATGAATTGTAACATTTAAAATGAAAGACTGCCTGTGTTTGATTCAACAGTTGACTTTGATGTCCTGTAAAAATTGTTTTTAACCATTTAGTCACGTTTCATTATTGGCTACTTTATAGACAAATGTCAAGCACAACTTCTTTCCTGTAAAAAATAGAATTGCTTATATTTTGTTGGAATGTGCAGCTGTGTGCAGAGGGGGCAGTAACTGTGAATGCAAAATCATCATGAAGAAAATCTATGTGGTCACTAAGAGTTGACAGTCACATGATATCATGAAACCAATCAAATACTAAGAAAAATGTTAACCACCCCTGCCAGTTGTAGATTCACATTTTACTGATGCTATATACTATGGAACTGAGTGTAGAGGTAACCTGTGTGTGTGTGTGTGTGTGTGTGTGTGTGTGTGTGTGACTGGATGGATGGTAATTCAATAGAAAAAACTTTAAGTGTACTTTATCACAATTTAAGAAACTTTAATGTTGCTGGCTGTTCTTTGCTTCAGATTCACTGATATCTTCGTATTCAGAAAAAGATCCAGCACCTTTTCAAATGTGGATTCTCAGTCACTGTTTAAAAAAAAAGAAAAGAAAAGAAAAGAAAAGGGGGGGGGCTGTTCCATAAGTGCAGAACTGAGCACCAATTATGGGGGTTTCTCAGAACCGAAGGAGATCTGAAGTGGCTTCTTCTCTGCTCCCTCCTACAGAGCCTTTTTAAAGAGGTTTACTCAAAGACCCCAGAAGGGGTCAGACAAATTCCCAAAGAGCACCAGGATGGTCGCCTGTTAATGAAGGGTAAGCTTTCTCGTGGACCCCAAATCCCCCTCAAAATCAGTTAAGTTTGACTGAGGTGGGAAACAGCGGCTCTGAGGCTTTGGGGCTACTGTCCTGCCTGGGCTAAGGAGGCACATTGCCAGGCAAGGCTGGGCAGCAGCCAAAGGAAGGGACGAGAGGGTGCACTTGCCTGCGAGTTTATTGCCGGAGCTTTTTCACAAAACTGACCTCGTCCCGGTTGCGAATCCCATACCTAGAAGCGGCAGAGGCAGGCGAGGGGGTCACCTCGAGGCGGTGGGTGCTCTGCCCGCTCCCCAGAAGACGAGAGGAGCTGGGCTGGTCGCACAAAGCCCACCGGCACCTTCCCCAGACAGCCTCCCGCCTCGCGACGCCACTCACTCCCGCAGCTTCTTGCGGTCGTCCGCCAGCTTCTCTCCGCCGAAGGTCAGGCTGTAGGTCCGCCAGACGTGCCTCCTGCGGGGCAGCGGGCCGGCGATGAACGGGGCTTCCCCAGCCAGCCCCACCCCCCGCCCGCAGCGCCCGCAGCGCCCGCGCTCACCAGCTGATGTGCCGCGCGCCGCCCTGGCGCTCCTGCCGCAGCTGCACGAACCGCCGCAGCGCCTTCTTGAGCTCCAGCACGCTCGCGCTCTGCACCACAACCACGGCTGCCGGGAGAGGAGCAGCTGGGTGTCCCTGCGGCGGCCGCAAGGGGGCGCACCGCCTCCTCCCACCCGTCCCGCCAGCGACTTACGCATGGGAACTTCGGGGGCGTCGACTCTGCGCACGCGCACCGTCATCGCCTGGCCGTACTCGAGCGCCACCTGCGAGCAGATCTCCTCGGGGGTCACCTGCAGGACACAGCGCGCATGCGGCACGTGAACTGCCGGCTACGGCGTCCCCCGCCCCCCCCCTCGGCCACTGACCTGCGCCGGGAGGTCGCAGAGGAGCGGGTCCCTGACGAGTCGCGCCAGGCCGGCCTGCCAGCGTGCCACCGCCTCCGCGTGCGCCTCCTCCTCCTCCTCCTCCTCCAGCATCATCGTCGTGACTGGATCCTTGCGCGGCCGGAACCGGAAGTAGCTTCCATCGCGCAGGCGGACGTCCGGGGCGCGCCGAGATGCTGCTCTTTTGCCCGGCCTGCGGGAACGTGCTGGTGGCCGAGGAAGGCGCCCGCTGCCACCGGTTCGCTTGCACCACCTGCCCCTATGTGCGCAACGTCACGCGCAAGGTGGGTGTCCGCGAGGGACGGGGAGGGCTTCTTCCTTGCGCGCGCACTTGCCCTCCGCCTCCACTCACCCCCTCCCCGCGTTGCCAGGTGACGAGCCGGCGGTACCCGAAGCTGAAGGAAGTGGACGACGTGCTGGGCGGGGCCGCCGCCTGGGAGAACGTGGACTCGACCGCAGGTGCGTGGGGGCGGGGCGCGTGGGGGCGTGGGGCGCGCCAACCCCTCCCCCGACTGACTCCTCCCCCCTCCCTCCGCAGAGCCCTGCCCCAAGTGCGGCCACCCGCGCGCCTACTTCATGCAGCTGCAGACGCGCTCGGCCGACGAGCCCATGACCACCTTCTACAAGTGCTGCAGCGGCCGCTGCGGCCACCGCTGGCGGGACTGAGCGGCCCGACGGAGGAGGAAGGCAGCCGGGAGTCCATTTAATAAAGCCGCTTTATTCGCTCTCACCGGGCCGCCCCCGCGCCCCACTTGTTCCAATTCAGTTCGTAGGGGAAGACCCTGCCCATTTTCAGGGTGCAGTCGATGGCCGGCTCGTAGAAGGCGGCCGCAGCGTCGCTCAGCTTGCCGCCGGGGAGCGCTTCTTCCCAGGTAGGCTTGGAGAAGAGCGAGGCGGCGCTGCGCCTTTGGAAGTGGAATTTCCTGATGCAGCCTAGAGACTCCAGAGCCTGCAAGGAGCACAGAGGGCCCGTCAGCTGGGGAGGGAGGGGGGCGCTCCAGTTAGGAACTGCCTGATAGCTCAGCTGCAGTAACCTACGGAAAGGAGGCCCGGCATTCTGGGGGTCGGGAAAAGGGTTGTCCCAGGCTGGGAAGCTGGTTTTGGATGGTGCCCATGCCGGATCCCAAGCAGCTGCCATTACATGACCTGCCCCACCAAGCACACCCACCTGTAGGATCTCCAGGAGAGCCACTGGCTGCAGGACGCCCAGGTAGTGGTGCTGCAGGGCTGCTTCTGTGATGCCAGGTTTGGTCATAATGTGGCCGAGCACTCCTTCCATGATCCCTTTGCAGACTGGTTTGTTCAGACTGCCGTCCACAATGCGCCAAGGCCGCCCCACGAAGCAGATGCTATCCCTGCTTAGGAGAATGAGCCAATTCACTGGGTGCAAATAGCCTCTTTCCTGGCATCAGGAAATGTTTGGGAAGATGCATCCAGTAACTGTAGTGCAACACTGTCGTTCATTCTGCTTTATGTCCTATCTGTCCTGCCTCCAAGTCCACTCCCATCTTAACATCAAATTAGAGGCTCCTTTGGCATCTGGGAAGCCGAGGGCCGTCCCTGCTTTGCCCTCTTTACCGTATCTGCACAGAATGCCTTTCATAAAACCCTGGAAATCAATCCAGAGAAAGCTATTTCATAGAGAGCTTGCTCTGCATAAAACTAAGCAAAACATAGACGCTCCTGCTGCAGCCCCAAAGATTACAACTCAAGATGAGAATTCCAGACCTTTAGTGTGTCTACAGATGAACGGCTGGAATAAAAGCACTTCCTATTTTCCTGTTATCCTTGCTGTTTCCCAATTGCACAACAAACACAACTGCTACAAAGTTGTTTTTGCTTACCATCTGCATGCTTACCTTCTTGTTTCAACCTGAAGTGACTGCCTTGCCGCACATCCTAGGGAAGAGCAGGAAAGACCATGAGCCACAGAAAGACCCATCTTATTCCTACTGAATAAACATTTAGTGTGATCAGCAGAGTTGCTACGGAACGAGTTTTAGTTGATCGAGGAGGTTCCGTTTCATGGAGTGATGAAGAAAACAGCATCGAGACAAGGATCACCAATGAGATGTGTTGATAGATTTTCTTGTCTCTGGGAGAGGGCCCCCCCCCCCCCCCGCCCACCCCCGGTGCAAAATTTAAGCCATCTACCTACTCCAATCCCTCCAACCCGCTTCCTTTCTGGAGGGTCTCCGCGCAGTTCAGGAGGGCTTCAAACTTACCACGGAGCGTTTCACTCTCCTCTTGGAATGATAAGGAATCCTCATGGGGCTCTCGGCTGGGCATTCCCCCATCCAAGGCTCCTCTGCCAGGGGGGGGCATGGCTTTTTCCCTGCAGGAAGGGATGCCCGCCCCGCACTTCTGCATGGCAGCTCCTCCTTGTGTTGCAGGGGTCCTGGCTGCCTCCAAACATGGGGGGTTTGAGGAAAAAGTCCTTGTTTCTGGAACCCCCTCTTCTCCCCTCGGCCTTTTCCTGGCTGGTTCTTCTCTTGCTACTGCTGCGGCACAGGAGGCAGCCTCCCCTCCTTGCCCAGCAGGGTCCCTCTCCCTCTTCATATGTGGCTCTTTGCCTGGCAGGTTCTGACTGATGTCCTTGAGACTCACAGAATGCAACAGCCACGGACTTGCAAATCTTTTTGCCACCAGCCGGGTAGTTTTCCCACCTACTTCCAACACCTGCTCCAAATCAAGAAGATCCTAAATGGGAGGAGAGGGGTGTCATGACCCACAAAGTTTGTAGGTGAAAAACAGGCAGACGGTGACAGGCTTCTGACCCACAAAGGATCAGAAAATTCACCTCCCCAACCTGAATCGAATGTGCTCAATTGCAGTGTTCGTTTCATTAGATTTAGATGCTGCCTGACTCCAAGGCAATGCTGGGCACTGACAATTTTAAACAAAAGAACCAGATAAAATATAAAAGAAATTAACATCCATCTGGGGGATACATCCATCATGTATCCAAACTGCATCTAACAATGGGACCCCAGCCAGCACAGTTAAGAATTCTGTTTTTTTTTTCCTTTGGGGGGGGAGGGGAAGGGAAGGGGGTAGTATAATTGTGCAGTGCTCTAGGACGGCATTTTGGTTAGGAGGCTGCAAAGGAGCTCTCACTCTGGGCTTTTTCCTCCCTCTCATCCATACCAACCTGAAGATATTGCTGCAAAACCTCAGTGCGCCCCAAAACAGCTTCTTTGTAATGCTGGAACTGCCTGGCAAGATTCACCTGGTCCACCCCAAAGTGTGAAGTGGCCTCTATGGCAGAGAAGATCTCAAGGGCTGCAGCAGCATCTCCAGGGCTGTGATTGTAATGATCCAGCAACTGAAGTTTGGGATCACCCTCTTCTGGGACCCGGAGACATTTGGTGAAGGAGCTGGGGAGGCAAGAGGCTCCAACCGGCATGTCCTCCAGATCAGATGGGACTGTGGGCACAAACGCAAGTCCTTTGGCTGACAGGAAGCGCAGACCCAGATAGCTGCTCCCCAGGCCTAGGCCAAAGGCAAGCAGAGGCCACCATAATGATGGCTTCTTCTGAAACAGGACAAAGGAGAAACTATTGTGGCACCATTTGTCCAAGAACGCCTCTACCCAGGAGACTGACCTTCAGCCAAGAGGCTGTTTTGGGCAGGTGTTGCTCTCAGCTTCACTTTCACCTGGCAGGAATCAACCACAATGTTGTCTGTGGGACTCAAATTCCGGGTGTTGATGATCCCTGGGGCACAATAGCCTCTCATGAGCAGGTAGTTAGTACGTGAGGCCTGCCGGGCCTTCACCTCAATCTGGCGCTTATTGACTTGGTTCTCCTCCGCGTCATCGTCGTCGTCGTCCTCCTCCTCCTCCTCCTCCTCCTCCAGCCCATCTTTCCCTAAGCTACAAGAGGCAGGGAGGAGTGAAATGTCAGTAGGGCTGGAGTAGAAGGCTGGTCTTACGCTTGGATCAGCAAGCAGAAGATTACAGCCGGCCTACCTTCCAAGAGAAAGGCACGGCACAATTAAAGGTTTGAGATTCAGTTAAAAAATATTAATTGAATCCAAACACCCAAATCTGGCTGGAGACACTGTGGCTTCCTACCTCTTGATGACTTCATTCTCCACCATGGTGCTGTCAACCACGACAATCTGCTCTGGGATTGCAACGTCTACAGAAACCAGGCCGAGAGAGAAGAGGGCCAGCAGAGCAGAGCAGTAGCCTCCTGGCCCATCTAAAGGAAACGTTACCATCTCAGCCCCAAGGAGGGGGTTGTCTTGATCCTTAAAGGAAAAGCTGGAAACAGCATCCTGTTTTCCAGCTTCTTTGAGTTTCAAGAGAAACTGGTAAGCTTCGCTGCAAAGGGTGCTGGGAAACCGCCAGGTGAACACTCTGGGGAGAACCAGGAAAGAAGAGACTGTCTCAACAGACAGGACTTGGAAGCAGGAGGCCAGGGGGCCCCCAATTTCTGGACAGCAGGAACTGTTGTCCACAGCCTGAGGAAAACCGCTTCCCACTTGGCTGGCTACACATCCTTCATGTTCGGCCCTGCCAATTCAGGATGGAAGGAGAGGCAAGGCACCAACCTGTAGTAACTCTGAGAGAGCTGGTAAGACATGGGCACGAAGGGCAGTGCCCGATTTTTCTTGGGGCCCAGGCTGTGATTACCCCGGCGGCGGTTCACCAAGCCCCTCTTCTGACAATCCAAGAAAGCTTTCACCAGGATGTCGTCCTGATAGTCACGGTAGAGGCGGAAGGTCTGCCGATGGAAAAGCCCCTTTCAGTGCCTTCGGCAGCCCCCCCCCCCAACTCCCCTTGAGGAGGGGCACCTCCCCCGATGCTTCACAGCCGCTTTGTTGGTCTAGCTGTGGACAGGAGGGGGCACCTGGCCGAGACCCTCACCCTATCCCCGACTTGAGGCCCCAGTCCTTCTGCAGTGTCAGGGCCACTCCTAGATCCAGTGTCACAGAGGGAGGCTGAGGGAGGCAAAGGGGAGTCCAGAGCTAAGCGCTGACTGATAGGTCCACTTCTGGGATGGGATGGAACAACGAACATTTGTAGAGTGGCCAAAAGCATTCTCTGCTGCAGAGCAAATCAGGTCTCTAACTCCCACACCACTTGTTGGTATCCTCTAGGAAATGGCCCTTCCTAGAACCCCAAAAGCCCACCTTGTTCTTCTCACCTGGAAGGACTGGAAGGACTTCATCTGGTTGTTGGAGAGAGCC